ATAACTCCTTAAGCACAATGGATGGATCTTGATATAGGAGGACTCCGATTCCTTCTTATATAGATGCCCGGTAGGCACCTGAAAATATGTTTGGGTGTCAAGTTTTAGGCATCTGTCACTTTCTTCTCTGTACGAATTTTAATTCTTCAGTTCTCATGACTCCTAATTGGTTGGTTTTGAACAAAGATACAGCTGAAATATACCGTTATTTAAGACACGGAAGGCGGCGATTAGAAACTGACCAGGATACACAATGCAATGCATTTATCCGGTTCACCCTTAATTTGGTCCATTAAGTTGGCTGGTATTTTTATTATAATAATGGAGAAGTTACACATGTGTTATAATGAGTTTGGTCAACTAAATAATTGAGTCTCACAAGTGTAGGAGAGGACTCCTCTATATGGGAGGGACTGATGTAAATTAGCTTGCAGAAGAGACTGAAAATCAAGCCGAAAGGCGCAAATCGAGCAGCAAGAATAACGCTTTATAGATTAATTTGAGCTTCAATGTTTGATTTGGAATCATTACATGTCGTTTCAAAAAGACTTACAATGCACATCAAACTCATTGCTATAATGTGTTAACATTTCGAAGAAACGGTTGTTTTTTATTTTTTGTTACTTGTTTAATTGTACTCCTATTTTCTCTCATAGAGTTTCTAGGGCTATATACAGGAAGACGTACCATAGATAAAATGTTTAGCGTGTTATCTTATCAATTGTCATTCAATTTTGTTTGAGATTTTCTAATTAATGCTTTATGATAAATTTCGGTAATATTTTTGTTTGGTTTATGTTCTCGAATGTGGAATAATGTGGAATTGTGGTCATTCTCATTCATAACTTATCCCAACATATCAAAACTTAATTTATAGTATTTTAATGTTAAAGAAGTTACGTAATTGATATGTACGGCTTGATGAATGCGACAGGCCTGTATCCTCTTAATCGATGTACATAATTCCATCTAAGAGAAAAATGGCGAGGTATATTATATGGAATTGTGCAAGTTCGGCGTTGAAACTAAACTCTGTTATGTATCTAAGGCAGCGTCGTGTGCTTACCTTTCCACCTCTGCACTTAGATATTTGGTGGCTTGGTGGTTCCAAGTTCAACACATTTATTTATTTGTTTATCAACATGCATGCATTTTTTTCCAAAAAATAGAACTATTTGCATGCCCCGTTTGAAATAACAATTGAAACTGTGATACTATATGGCCTACTAATTGACTTTATATTCACCCATGAAGAAAATTACGACAATATTTAGCCTCAAGTGTCATTGAATAATCCGATGAGGTATTAGATGACATATTCACCCATGAAAAAAGTTGTCGAAGTAGAAATATTTACTTGCCCCGTTTGAAATAACAATTGAAACTGTGATACTATATGGAGTAGAAAGGTATACCGGGAAAACATAGCTTTATTGATAGATAAGCAGAAACAAAACAAAGATGTCTTTACATAGAGAAAGACCAAAGCAAACCCTAGACTAAAACCCTATTACTAACGGGCTAAGCCCAAAATACCAAACATTAAAATAAAACTAAATAATAATATTTTCCAACACCCCCCCCCCCCCGTCAAACTCATAGCGGTACACGACATGGGTTTGCCAAATTAGATGTGGATGTAAGACTCTAAATTTCAGTGCCAATGCCGATGCGAAAAAACACAACCATGCTAATGCCGATGCCAACTTCAAAACACCACCATGTCAATGTCGATGCCAACTTCAAACTACCATGTCCAATCATCCTTCCTAGATTCAAATTTTGAATCAATTTCAATATGCAAAACAGCAGCTGCTCCTCCTTTCTGTGGAAGTTCATGTTGCTGAGACAACTTAGGACATTGGGATTTCCAATGCCATTTCCCTTTACAATAAGAACACTCATCCATGGCAACCCTACGAGACCTTGCCGCAGCAAATGTTGAAGTATTTAACGATGATGAAGAAAGCTTATGCGACTGCACACGAACTTCTTCTACTTGTAACTCATTAAGAACAGAATCAACAGATGGAAAAGGAGTTCGATGAAAGATGGAGCTATGGAGTGTCTCGAACTTATCCCGAAGAGGCATTAGAAATTGAACAAGACATTGTTCTTCTCTATATTTACAATAGAGCTTGACAATGCCGAGTTCTTCAGGCTCAGTTAATGCAAGTTGATCCCAAAGATTGCTCAGTTCATTGTAAAACACTTGAATACTCTTATCACCTTGTTGGATTGTACAAATCTTCATTTCCAATTGATACCTCTTAGCAAAATTGGCCTTGGTATACAACTTTGCCAAGTGATCCCAAACTTCCTTAGACGTTGAGAACTTAGCCAGTTGCATTCCAATAGCCAAATCAACAGAATTATTAATCCAAGTAATAATATTTGAATTATTCATCTCTCATGCAGCAACCAATTCAATATGTTTCTCATCTTTAGGGTTATTTGGAATAAAAATCATTCCAGAAACATAGCCCCACAAACCTTTTCCAATCAAAAAATTCTTCATCACATATGCCCAATACACATAATTATTTCCATTCAATTTCACACCAATAGCTTGTAAGGAATCGTCCTTTGCAGATGCCATGACAATATTGAGGAACAAGGAACACGATAACTGGTGCAAATGCATATTAAAGGTGCAGTGTACCTGGTGTAGATGCAAATCAAAGGTGTAGTGCAGACGCAGATGCAGCAAGCAGATGGCCGTTCGGCAACGGTGCAGATGCAGATTGATGCAAACAAATCCAGACTGATCCGAGCATACTGATGCAAAATCAAGATGCGACTGATGCAAACTGATGCAGACTGATCTGAGCAGGTACAACTCAAACCGGTGTAGGTAGGTTGCAGTCGCAGGAGTCCATATAGGTGCAGGTGAGGAGTGATCTAGTGCGATGGTGGCTAATCAGGCGGATGGCACGGTGGTTCCCGAGATAGCAACCTTGCTCTTGATACCAAGTTGAAAAGTATACCGGGAAAACATAGCTTTATTGATAGATAATCAGAAACAAAACAAAGAGGTCTTTATATAGAGAAAGACCAAAGCAAACCCTAAACTAAAATCCTAATACTAACGGGCTAAGCCCAAAATACCAAACATTAAAATAAAACTAAATAATAATATTTTCCAACATATGGCCCACTGATTGACTTTATATTCACCCATGAAGCAAATTAGGACAATAGTTAGCCTCAAGTGTCATCGAATAATCCGATGAGGTATTAGATGACATATCCATGCTCCGCCGCACGATCTGACCTGCAGGTTTAGACCGTGACCGTGGAATGTTTGACGTTGTATGAAAGTAGTAGATTGGTCATTGGTCGTGATATGACTTGATTTTTAGAAGCAGATAAGCTGCTGTTGGGCAAAGATGGAGACATTGCCATCGCCCAAGTGGAAGGTGGTTATGATAGACCTGAATAGGGTTAGCTCAGGACAAAGGATTACAGAAAACAATATAACAGACGTTTGAAGTATTTAATTTAGAAATGTATAATTTAACAGGACAGATCCTTCGTTCCTTGGGGAATCTCTCGTTTCTCAGGAGGTCTGATGCATATATGAATAAACAAAATACCATGTTTTCAATTTAGCTATCAATGAAAAAGTCAACCAAAACAATTCTATAAATATTACTAATTCAAATTAATTACATGATTGTCACTTAATTCTACCATGTTTTTCGACCGAGCAACTTTTTCTTGAAACCGATTGATCAAATTTTCCGGCGACCAACATGACCTTCAAATTTTCAGGCGACCGACAACTTTTTTTAGTCTCAATGTCACTCTTTAACAATGACCTTCAAAAGAACAAGCTAAGTAATGAATTTTCTCATAATTTCTCTAGTTTTATTGTAATTACATGTGTGGAAAAAAATAAACTCACACAACAAAACATAATTGAAAATGAAAAAGTTGCACGTATTTTTTTAAGTCATTGTGTAAAAGTGACTTGAAAATTTTCAACGACTAGAGAAAATTTGTAACCAAAAAGACTCTGGTCGACAAAAATTTTTGAAATTGGCACTGGTGGTGTATGGATCGCGTGCTATGGGAACAAAAATATAAATGTTTTTATGTACATGTATTTATTCACAATTTTTAGAAGGGATTAGTGGTATTTTTCCTTAAACTCTTTACTGAAAGGTGGTATTTCATCTGAATTTGCTTTACTTTTTAACTTTTAGGGTTGTGGTGTTGTTGTATGCAGCATCCTATTGCGATCAAAGAAAAGATAAGTCCTATTCTTTATTTTGTCTAAAACAACTAAAACAGAAAGCCTTCAAGTACTATAGAATCTTCTTACACAAGTTTTGATGTAATGCAAATTTCTGTTTCTTGGCTGTGTTCCAGCAGTGAACAAAAACGAGTTCCTTAACTTACCTGGAGATTAACAACTTTTAGCCGAGGGTTATCGGGCAATGACGGTCTCAGAAGATACTTCTCCTCCACATACTAATCCAAACACATAGTACTCGGAAAAAACTGACGGTACAAACAAACTGATAACATCAACAATTCCTTAATCAGTGAGTCATGAGAATCGCATGGACAAACATATATGGACCTCGAGTGCAACGATAAATGCTCTTAACCAACTGACCTACAAGCCTCTCCCTTTGTCCTATCCTTTTATCATAAACTTGGCTACTGCCATATGCCTCCTGTTTAGGGTACGTAGTAGAAAATTAAGGTCTATGAATTCCTCCTTATGGTGTTGTATTCCCCCATTCATGCCTTTGTGTGTTGCGATAAAAAGTTGATTTAAATCACATTTATTAGTCTTTTCTTCTTCAACTCACGGTGTCGTGAATTCAAACCGCTCATTCTCCCTACTGTAAAATATCGTTTGTATTAGGAAAAAACGCTAATTCAAATTGTTTTTATTTTCATGTAGCTGAGATGAAAAGTGGGTTCGGCCCACCAATATACTTGCTGGTGGGCCTGAGCAAAGTAGTCCACTTTCTTCTTCTTTCGTTGAGAAATCCTCCCAAGAATTCCGAGTTCTCTGTTCTACTGTCCAGGTCAAACAAACACAAAACCCAGCTCTCTTCTCACCCCAAAAATGGAAATTAAATAAATAAAAAATATTAAACCAGCTCTCCTTATGAATTCATGCAACAGAGCTAATTGGTGGGCTGAGGAATCGAAGCCCCCTTCACCTCACCGCCCTCAATTTCCATCAGAGTCACATAGTTGACTGTAAATTCTGCTTCTTTCTTCAATCTGCTTTTGCTTTCTGCCCAATTGTCAAAAGCACTTTTTTTGCATGTGGGATCTTCTAATTCCGAGAAAATTGCAGTTTCAGAGATCCCCAGATTCCCCACAAGCTTAATCTGCCAGAAAAGCACAAAACCCAGGTGGGTTTTTTGTGCTGGAGTTCTGAAATGGCCAACTGCTTAGAGGAATTGGATAATGCAATTGGTGAGTTTTGAGTTTTTATTCGATACCCATGTTTCCATTTGCCTTTGATAATGGCTGCATGTTTTAAATTTCATTTCTTTTTGTTACAATTTGATTGGCCTGTAGTAGCTTACTAGATTTATTTTTGTTCTTTTTTATGCTGTTAAATAGCAAAATTGCATCAAAACTTTCAGGAATTGAGGTACCACCTTGAGAAGTCGTTCTTAGAGCAGGGCAGGGCCCTGTTGAAATTTGAAGCTCAGTGGAAAGATCTTAAGAAAGATCACAGCAGAGAAAATGAGCAGCGGCAGGTTCACCTGCAACAAATGGTATATTCTTATTGTTCTCTCAACTTGAATCAATTTAACTTTGGTTTTTCATATGGTGCATTTTCGTGTCAGTTTCATAGTGATCTGAATTTTAAGTTAGTGCATTGCCATTGGGATTTTTCACATTTGTTCAAGGCTTCTAGTTGTTCCAGTACTTATTTGATGTTCAACGAAAATAAAAGGATCTATCGATGCTCCTCTCCCGCTTGGTTCTGCCTCAAACTTGTACAAAGTAATCTTTCCAATAGAAAACTATGGTTGAACTGAGTTTTTAGGACTTTCCAAACACAAAAGAAATAAACGAGTTTTTTTTTTCTGAGATTTTTATATAGAAATTTGATCACACACCTTGTCAATCCAAATTTTATCTGAACATATTCCAATTAAAAGGCATAACTGAATATCTAGGGTTATTCTGTCATATCGGGACTGTTTAGGTACATCTTTTGTTCGTGTCGAGGCAAATGCAGTGGTGGGTTAACTTCTGTCAACCCAATGCTTGTTTTGTCGCTGTTGTAATCCTCATAATTCTTGCTGTTCCATTCCCTCATCACTTGGGGCGAGTGGTTATCTAACATCGTTTTAGAGTCTTGTTTGCAAGAGGAATTGGGTTCAAAACTTTTGATCTCGATGCCTGTTTCTATGCTGTGTGAATGGTGCACGGTCAGGCTGCAATATTAGGTTCTTTTTCTCCTTCCATCTGTTTGTACCTCCACATGCTGCCCATGCTGCATGTGAGGGAGGGTGTAAGCTTGGCATCCCTTGTTCACCCTTTCCCTAACATCTTAAGCTTTTGGGATCAGGGCCTGTGTAATCTGTATGTATGGTAGAAGAATCTGAATATGGCATGTTGTATGCTTTCCCAATTAAAACTTCTTGCGGGGAGATTCAATCAATGGAAGAATATTTATTAGGCTTTGTTACAGTTATGATATGCATCTAGCTTCCCCCCCTTCCCTCCCTCCCTCCCTCCTTATGATATGCCTTGTGTTTGAAAATACCCCATTCCATCAAGTCTCTTGTGTTTCTGTTAACCAAGTTGATGTGGCATTTACGTGGAAAAAAATTATGTACATTTTGTTATATTTTTATTATCTCATTTCCTTATTGTGTTTCTTTGTGGTATTTAATGGTGTTGAATGTACTTCGCTAAAGCATTTGAATTAACACTTTTGTCAGCATCGATTTTTCTAATATTTGATGTCATTTTCAAGGACCCCAGATCTGTTTAGCAAGCTTCAAAGTTCATGTTATAGTGACAAATTCCCCTTCTACACTTTGTCGGAAAATAATTGAAGGGGCAGAAAAAGTTTATGTGGCTGCTTAAAATGGTTGAAACCCCCCAAAATTAAGAGAATAAATATGTACCTATTTATTTAGAAAATCAGACACATAAGAGAGCAGGAATGGAACAATGCGTAGCCCAGGTCATCTCAGGCATAAAAAATAAAAAAAATCATTTCTGGCTGTATGTTTTAGCTTTTTAACCCAGCCTACTCCACTACCACTCAATTCTACAGTTCTTTTCTCCCCTTGTGCACTACTGATAGATCAACCGCCAAAGATCGTGAATGGTCTGCATTCATTAGCTGTTAGCTTCTATACTACTCCATTGGAAAATGATTTTAGGGGATAAAATGAGTTTCAAGAAATAAACTCATGGCTAGTCCATTGGAAAATGGCTAAGGCATTCATTAGTCGCCAAATGCCCCAAAGGCATAACCCTTTCTGTTGTCGTGTACGCCTCCGCCCTATTTTTTGAGGAAGGGTGTAAACCTCTTATGCAATGACTATAACTATTATATTTTTGCTGTGTTCCAGGCCTAAACAACAGTATTAGGTATGCAACTTCAAAATATTAAAATAACAGTAAGAAGCTGGAAGAAAACCCCTTTATCCCCCTGAAAGATCGTCTGAAAACATTGGAAGAAAATTCCTTTTAGGTGTCTCCTGTATGGGAATTTAGAAAAGCTCTTCACTGCAACCCATGATATTTCTGAAGGAAAACAGTGCCTTGGACAAGCTTTCGGCAACAACACACTAGCTTGGAGGAGGTTTCAGTTTCATCCCACTAGTTTAGAGGAAGCTTTATTGTTTTTACCTCTCTCTTTTCACATTTCTTCTTCATTCTTCTAGTGTTATTTGGTCTGTTTTTTTGTGATTATTTGGAGCTTTTCTTTGCTAGTCTATTTAGCAGGTCTATGGCGTTTCACTCCTATAATTTTGATGTGCTGATATTTTGTTCTGCTGAAAAGATATTTGGTATGGGGTTGATTATTACGGTTCAAGGCATATGCTTTGTGTCCACCTGCGCTTCTGAAAACGCCAACTCAGATTACATCGATCACTGCATGCATTGCATATCTGTATTGTATGCTTGTTATTCCAAAATTAATCTCAAACGGTAGACAGCAGTTACGTACTGCATTTCCGCAACCTTCCAGGGTATCCATAGAGACTTTATCCCTGCATGATAGAAGAATCCGAAAATAGCTGTTAGCTATCAAATTCAACCAATGGGAGAATATTTATTATGGATTGAGTTTACGTCAATCCGTGGATGCATTGCATGTTGTTGTATTCAATGTATGGTTGTTCATGTCAAAGTTAATCACCTTCTTTCAGGGTTTCTCAATACCATCAAATGGGACAGAGCACTATGCTTCTGCAAATCCGAATGCTGCCTCGTGGAGTAACACTAGTGCTCGGCCGGCTGGAAATGCTACTCCTCGTCCTTCTGGAAACGGTACTCCGAAACTGCATTGTGAGATATGCAATATTTATTGCGACACCAAGGATGTACTCAACAAGCATAAACAGGGAAAAAAGCACAAGATGAATTTGGATAAGTTGAAGGGCAAAAAGATCCCTGGAGAAAACAGTAAGAGGAGAGCAGCTGATCAACCTCCGGAGGATTTAGAAACTAAGAGAAGGAAGGTTCTTGAAAGCGGGGCAGCACCAGACGCTTTAAGGACTTGCGCTTTATGTAATGTGGTCTGTCTTACTGAGACGGATTTCAATAATCATCGCTCCGGACAACGGCATGTTGAGGCCGCTACTGCGGCGAGGAGGCATGGTGCTGGTACAAGTGGAGCAAGCAGCCACTGGCAGTCGCAGTGGAGATATCAGGATTGGAATTCATAACTAGTAGGACTTCTGTGAGGCTCTGAGCTTCATAACCAAATTATTTTTTCTTACTTTTTGTAACTAATTGCCTAAAAGATCCCAAGTCTCAAACTTCAGACCCATTTGGTAATCATTTCAGTTTCCGGTTCAAGTTTTCATTTTTTGTGCTACAAATAGAGGAAAAGTATGAGGATATGGAAAAAATGATGGAAGAAATGTGTCGGGAATGATGCACAAACAACAACAAAGCCTTTTCCCATTAAGTAGGGTCGGTTATATGAATCCTAAAACGCCATTGCGTTCAATCATTCGTTACGTTTTTTGTTAGATCCAAGTACTCAGTTTTTTCTTAGTGTCTCTTCCAAAGTCTTCATGGGTCTTCCTCTACTCCTGGGGTCCTGAAACTCTGTCTCGTGATCGCATCTTCTAACCGGAGCAAACATCTTCTGTCTTGGGAATGATACACAAAATGAAAATTAAAAACCTCACTTTCAAGGTTTGGTTTTCAACTAATCTCCTTCCTTTCTCCGTCCTCCCTCCCTCCACCTTTGTTCGTTATAATTTCTCCCATATACTTCCCGTCTTTATCTAGCACAAAAAATGAAAACCGAAAACCAAAACGAAATGTTTTTCAAACAGACGATTGAAACAAAAGGCCAAACCTTGAAGTTGAAGCTCAACCAATTTGAGAGGAGGAAATTGGCTATTGCGTAAGGTATCCAAAAGCTTTACTGCATTGTAACTTTACTTTTGGTGTTGGAATGGAATCCGAAAATGTTTGTCCTGTGAAGTACAGAAGAAGATGGAGAATAACTTCACCATACACACAGCCCCAACCCCACCCATGTGCAGGTTTGGTATTGATTTGACCCATTTGGAGTCATGGGTTCACTAATGGGAAGCTTCCCCTTCATCATATGCTTCGAGATTTAGACGCTCTTCTTTTAACCGCCTGCACTTTCAAAAATAATGTTTTACTCATTCATTTGCAAACTCTTTTTGAAATGGACCGGAAATTTCTCGTTCTAGTTTTTTTCTAATGCAAATGTTTGTCTTTCGATTACATTGGAAAGAGAACGAATCGTCGACCTATCCTAATCCTGATTCATTTTTCCAATCTCTTCGTCGTTCGGGCAAACCCCGAAATCCTACAAATGCTTTTGCTTATCCATGATAAACACAATCACGTAAAGTTTGTTGAATTAAGCTAAAATTAGCAAAATGCCAACTGAAAGAAACCAAATGAACAAAACAAGATTATTACAAATACACATCTCATGCATATGAATATATTACAACTTTAATTTTAGCAAAATATTAATATGGTGCGGGCTACAAATTCTCTGCAGCCGCCTCAACCTCTCCTCCTCCTACAAATATAATTCCCAAATTACCCCTTTCACTTAGTTACTTTGTCATACCCATATTACTACTCATCACACCCACTCACAAAAGTCACACCAAATCCCACCAATCAAAAAGTCAAATTTGCCCCTCAAACACTCTCACATTCTCCAACACCCCAGTCAAAAACAGCATCTAGTAGAAAAAAACTTTAAAAGTGGCGGGAAAATCATAAAAAATATGTTGACTTTTGGGGATGGTTTTTCAGACTCTGAAGTTCTTGCCGGTGAATGTTTGACCGAACTGCCAGTTGGCCGGGACGATGTTCCAGGAAGTGGAGGTGCGTCGGTCACTGCCTGTGACCCGGAAGGACAGTGACTGACCAACCAGAACGGAGTTCGACTGCCAGTTCTGGCCCCAGTTGCGGCTCATGCTCATCCAGCCAGTCCCGGCGCCCTTCACGCTGACCCGCACGATATCCCCTGCGCCCGCGACGTTGCTGATCAGAACCAGGTTGAAGTAACGGAACCCGTTGATCGTGAACCTGATTCCTCCCCGCTTCCGGCATGGCACCCTGCGGAAAAAAATCAAAAAACGTGAGGGTAAATTCGGACTTGGCAATGTTAACGTGGATCGCGGACCGCGTTTTATGGTGGGCGCGAATAAATGAGCCAATGAAAATTGAACACTAAATTGGTCTTTTCACGTTGATCGACGAGTCTCGGACTCTTGGGGACTGTGCTTTGGTATGGTCTCTGGTTTTTCTACGTAGGAAACTGTGAACTATTTGTAGTCGTATGATTTACTGATCAAAAATGTACGTACGGTGCAGATCTTGTCGTAGACCAAAAGGACCATAATCCAAGATAAAGAGGTAGGTTTGGTAGCTAATGCAAGTTTAGTGGAACCATAAGTCAAAAGTTTATTTATAATTTAAAATGTTAATAACAACTCTATTTTTTAAGACGTTGAACTCGACTTAAACTTGGATAACAGGGCAGACGCACAACACTGACTAACAGACTTAACCGACATTTGCATCACAGCTTCTATTTGTAATCGTATGATTTACTGGTCAAAAATGTACGTACGGTGCAGATCTTGTCGTAGACCAAAAGGACCATAATCCAAGATAAAGAGGTAGGTTTGGTAGCTAATGCAAGTTTAGTGGAACCATAAGTCAAAAGTTTATTTATAATTTGAAATGTTAATAACAACTCTATTTTTTAAGACATTGAACTTGACTTAAACTTGGATAACAGGGCAGACACACAACAATGACTACCAGACTTAACCGACATTTGCATCACAGCTTTCTTAAACCTCATAAGCTCACAGTTTACACAAGCGATGTAAACATTGTTTTGCAATACAACATGTCAGACAATGCACGACTAGAACGCGCATGCGGATCTAGTGGACAAGAAAAGGCCTAGAGTTAGGCCAAAGGATGACATAATAGCAACTGAGACACTTTCTTGAAATCTAGTAGCATATGTTAAAAACTAGGGTTTTTTGGGGAGTTAAATATTCCTCATGCCATGCCCATTAATTTGCTTTCAGCATTTGGGACCAATTGGGAAAAATTCAAACTTTTGAAAGTGACCAAAAAAGGACCAAAGAACCAAAAATTAACTAACCCATTAACTACCATAAGAAAGAATCAACTAAAAATATCAAGAATTTGGGGCAACAAGTCAATTTCTAGTGAGCTCTTTCCACATGGTCATTAAATAGACTGATTGAATTTTCTATAGTGTTTCGAGTATCAGATAGTTCGAGTTTTTTAACCATTTGATATTTGTTCAAAGATATAAATAAAAACGATTAAAAAGTCCAGAATATTACTCAGCATACCATAGACATTCTACAAAAGCAATTAAAAATCAGACCAGGATCCAACTCACTTGTACCATAAGTGTGACCCACAGGACTGGGAAAGGTTAGAAAAAGCTTTAAAGGAGAAAAGGTAAAGTAGTCTACTTTGTTTCATATGAAAAGAAATTATATTAGAAATTTGATATCTTATTGGATAGAGTGTTAGATTTATATCATGTCTCTCGGATTTGAAACTCTTATTTTCTAAATTATTGTAAAGAAATTGAACTTTTTCTTCTTCCTTTTAATAATAGTAAATTAAAAAAATAAATGAAAAAGAAACACTCACACTACCAATATTGGGAGTGCAAAAGTTAGTGGCAGTGATGGAAAATAGATGGATTTCCAGTACAACTATAAAGCAAAAAGTGGTCTAATTGGAAATTCCGGAAACTGCATTTTCATTGGGCTAAAAAGTTAGAAGTATTGTTTTATAACAATGACATACGTAAGTTAGGTCAATTAGTTCTTTCAACTCACGGTCAAATCCGTTTATATAAAAAATAGTAGTTAATTTAGTAACAAAAGTTTCAAATACTTCCAAATCCAAGACTTTTACACTAAAATTGTTAAACAAAATAGCCAAACCTACAAAATAGAGCAAGAAAACAGAGAACAAAACAGAGCATAAAAAACAGAGAACAAAAACAGAGGATAAAAAACAGAGATGTGAGCTTCACTAACCTACGGTAGGCAACAGGGACGATCCCAGCTCTGTACTCGGCAATCTTGAGGAACATGGGCATGGCGAGGTCGAAGTGGGGCCTAGGAGGGTTGCACCATCCGCCATTGTCGCTTGGTTGGGCAAAATTGGGAGGGCAAAAGTTAGTGGCAGTGATGAAAATTGATGGACTTCCAGAGTGGCACCATCGGGGGTCGTTTGAACACTTGATCTCAAAGCAGGCTCCGCAGCTGAGGCCATTGTTGAACAGTGCCGTGCTCAGGGCCCCGGTGTTAACTCCGTACCCCTGGCTGTATAGATTTCCATATCCACAAGCCCCACCTTAAAAAAAAAACAATTTTTTAGTTAGTTAGTTGACAATTAAGCTTGATTAATATCTTTGTTGTAGATCTTTAAAGCGTTTTGTTTGATTTTGTTAATGTAACGATATTTCAAACCAATCAGGTAATATCACGTGAGAATGCAATAATGCATGTAGTGCATGGTAGTTAGGCAGTGTCACGTGAGAATGCGATAATGCATGCAGTGCATGATAAGCTTGAGATATTAGAATGTGGGATTTCTGTGAACATTATGAAAAAAAATGAAATTTTGAGGCAAAGGGCAAATGCAGGGTTTGGTGACGTATACCCATGGTTCCGGAGGCGTCGGAGCCGCCGTAGAAGGTGGCATGAGCGCCTTGCCATGCGCCACCGGTGTAGACGCCCGGAATTCTTGCTTCAGCCACCCACATTAGCGAGATTAGTAGAGTGGCAATGCAAGTAGAAACACTCACCACACCCATTTTCTTTTTCTAAATTTTCCCTAGAAACAAACAGAAAATAGAGAGAGAGAGAGAGAGAGAGGAGAGAGAGTCAGTAGGTACTGATTGGGTGAGGGCTTAAAGGAGGGGTGGTGGACTACTTATGGAGGTTGGCTCCAGACTTGGGACGTCTTCAGGGGCTATTTTTGGAATTTCAGATTAAATGAAAAATAATAATCAACTCAATCCCATTCTCAATTTTTGGGGCGTGCATATTATCAGCCAATCGGGCT